AGTTTATAGTAGTTACCATCGGGGATGACAATGTTAACCTATTCACACTGTGCACGTACCTCTAAGAACTTCACAAATCCACCCTACGTCACCTGACATGTCAGTATAGGTGCAACGTTAGACACATTCTGCTATGGTGCCAATAGTTATGCCACGTCACCTACTACGTCAGTTGTCACGCAGTAGAGGTGCCATCAGTAGTACCAAGTCATCTGCCACTTCAGTTGCCATGTCATCAACCACGTTAGCATCAGTGCCACGTCAGCTACATCAAGGTGAAATGATTGTTTTCAAACTCAAGATGGTTTCATATAACCCATCTTGACTTCGAGAGGGGATGTTAGAATATATTGTTATCATATATTGTTATAATATATTATATAATATTTTGTTACCATGTTTACGTTTACCATATAGGGTTTAGGTTCACTTGCTCTCCACACATGATGGCTCTTATATAAACCCCTATTTATTGTTATATTTTACACATTAATACAATACACTCTCTTTATTTCTAACACTATATTCTCTACTCTTTCAACCTATAACTATAACTATCAAGTCATTTTTCTTAATCTTAGCTTTCTTTTTAATAGTTAAGTTGAATTCCATTCAACCATATTTCAACTATAACTCTTATCTCAACCAATCAAATAATTATTTTAAAAAGCAAAAGGTTAACTGGCCTCCCAATTGGTCCACAACCGAAGATGAGGCTTTATGTTATGCGTGGATGACCATTGGTTCTGATGCAGTAATCGATTTACACCAACAGAAGTCAACGTTACGGATCCAAATTATTGAAAGTTCTAAGCAATATATTAGTGGTGCTCGAACACCTAAACGGAATAGTAACGCTTTGTTGAATCATTGGTCTTTCATTACCAAATTTTTGGATGTATGGACCAGATCGAAAGGAATCCAACTAGTGGGCAAGAAATGAGTACAAGGTAGGTTTTTTACTGTTTTAAATTTAACTCATAAATATTATAAATATTTGCCTTCTAAAAATTATTGATTATTATTATTATTATTATTATTATTATTATTATTTTAGTTTAGATGATAGCAGCTAAAGAACTGGTAGTCAAACTCGCACCAAATTTAAGTTAGACAGTTATTGGAATATTTTGAATAACAACAATAAATGACATTTACATTATGTTGATGAGCAAGGGAAAAACAAAAGGAAATAACAACAACAATAGAAAAGAGTGGAATCTATATTAATGATAGTGAGCTTGTTGGTTACTCAAATCCATCTACTCTATCAACTAATGCAACAACGATACCAAGTTCAGTTGAAGGATCGACACGCATAGGCAAAAGTTATTCACCTGGTGTTGAAGAATGTCAACCATTACAACGACCACAAGGACAAAAATTGACAAAGTAGAGCTAAAATAAGGATAAATCTTCTGGCCAAAATTTAGTAATGTAACAGCCGTTTATAAATCTCAATCTCAAAGTCTTGTAGCCTCCCAAATATTACGAGAGGCACGCAAACAAATAAAGAAAAGACTAGATAATTAGAGATTCAAAATAAAAAAAGAACTAAAGAGATGTCAATCATGCAAATAGATCCAGAATCGATGCCAATCATGCTAGCTGTGAAAACATGGCTTATTGAATGACAAAATGAGATATTGGAATCTATACGTTCAATTTTTTCCTAGTTGATTTTATAACGGTATTGTATGGTTTAATTTTTTTTTTTTTTTTAAAAAAAAAATTTGTATTGTCCTCAAGGAACTGTTTACATTTAAGAGGATTCAAACCTTAGATCTGATACTTCATGAGGCACCATGGTCAAAATCTTACCCACTTGAGCCAACCCCTTGTATTTTTATTGTTTTAATTTTTCTAATCCATAATAGATATATATATTGTTTAATTTCTTTTTATGATACAACTATTTGAAATATAGAAGCTGGAAGAAGGGTTAAATTACTTTATTAAAAATTTAATAAATATTAAATATTAATATTTTTGAATAGTAAAATCTAAAAATACACAATTAGAACACATGTGAAATTCAGAGAAGCTACACTCTTGGAAATGTGACGTGGCTGTTGGAAAATACTAACCCCAAATTTGGGGAGATTACATGCTCTTAACAGTGGCCTGGCAACTCGAATATTTGCGCCCCGTCTAATTCATCCAATCCCGCTAAAGCAGTCCATAAAATATTCTTAAATTTGCCTCTTTGATAATGTAACGGCCCTTTATCAATCTCAAAGTCTTGCAGCCGCTCAAATACCACGAGAAACAGGCAAAGCAGATAAAGAAAACACTAGACAATTGGAGATTCAAAATAAGTAAAGAGTTGAAGAGATGTCAATAATGCAAATAGACCCAAAATCAATGACAACATTAGTTGTACTAGCTGTGAAAGCATGGCTTATTGAATGACAAAATGAGATATTAGAATCTATATGTTCACTTTTTTCCTAGTTGATTTTATAATGGTATTGTATGGTTTTATTTTTTTTAAATTCATATTGGCTATGTTTGGCTGGGCTTTCTGGGGCCTGGCGGCCTGAAACGGGCTTCCAAACCTAGGAAGTCCATTATGGAAAAAATTGAGCGTTTGGCAAAACAGGGAAAATGGACTTCTAAAAAACGTGAAAGTCCCATAAAGTCCATTATAAAGAAGCCTACAAAACTTGCTTTTCAAACTCACGTTCTCGAAGTCAGCCGATATTTTTAAGTAAAAAATTACATCGACAATTTTACCCCCATTTGTTTCCTAAACCAGTCTCATCTCTCCCTCGAAGAAAGGAGAGTTGCATTGAACCATGTTTTTCCATCTCAAGTTCATACTTTCTGATTTAGTTAATATTTTCCTAATTGCTCAATGACGTAGATTAGTTTATGCATTATGATATTGAATTTGTTTTTTCATCTTTAGTTCATACTTTCTGGTATAATATGATATAATCCCAAATCCTATCAGAAGTCTTGGATTGGGAAGCAATGAAGTTGCAGGAAATGATACTGGAGACCTCTCATTTTCGGTGCTTTCCAGTGAAGATTGTGACCCAAGTCAAATTACAACAACACCGGCTAAGTCTCACCCTGGCCTATTCCGCCATCACCAATACACCACCACCCACCTGGCCACCTCCGCTGCCGCCACAGTCGCACCACCACCACCACTTCCCCTCTCTCGCTAAGCAAGTTCTCTCTCCACAATCTTGAAAGAATTCTTATGAGTCGGAAGAAAATTATGCAAAGTTATGGATATATTAATATGGATTTGGAGTTTAAGAGAAAATAAATTTGAGTTTTGCTACACCGTATTATTTTTCATCCAATTCTGACACTTGCCCTATTTTTTTTTTCCTAGTTAACACTTGCACTATTTGCCTTCGCCATATAGTTGAAGACTCCAATGTGGATCATTGTTTCAGCATGTTCCTCTCAATCTTGAATTTCGCGGGCCAATGAAGAGATTTGGGGGTAGAAATTCACTCCTATTGAAAGTTTAAAACTAGCATTCCTATTCAACAAATATCTCAGCAATTTCAATTTTAATGGGATTCTAATTCTCTAAACTTAACAGCCATATATGTTCCTGTTTATCTCATTCAATCTACTGTCAATGTGGTTATACCTGAATTTTAGAGATCTGATTTATATATATATATATATATATATATATATATGTATGTATGTATTTCCCAAAAGCAAACATGGTTACTGCAACTAAAGAATTTTTAGTTGCTTGGGTAGGAACTTGTAAACTACTTAAAATTAAAGGTGATGTTTCTTAGCTTAAAACTTTTTAATGATCTTTGTTCTGAATAACTACATGCAACATGCTTTTGGATAGAGCATCCACCAGTTCTTACACAACAGGTTGTAATAATTATGCGAATTGTGCTTCCATAAATTCTTCTTCCCCTCACACAACTCCATGTTTCTTATTAAATTGGCCGCAAAATGCACTGGATAGTGAGGACCAGAGCCACCAAGCCCCACCAGGACAATGATAAAGCAATTACTAATTTGTGAATGTTGGCTGAAGTTGTCCGAGTATAAATTACATGATGTGAACGGTATTACCAGGTATTATGATTTTTATTGTTAGTCTCGATGTGAAAGTTATTATTTTTGCTACATATAAGGGTATTATTGTAAATTTGCAATTATTTAATATTAGAAGGACTTCGTCATTTTGCCACCAAACATACAAAATCGCTTTTAGCATATAGAAGGACTTCTTAATAGTGATGTTAACCAAACAACTTTTTGCTCTCAAATTCATTCCTACAAAATCATTTTTGCAAGTCCTTTATACTGAAAGGACTATCAGGAAGCTCCTCCAAACACAACCATTGTATTGATTGTTTTAATTTTTTTTTTTTTTCGATGCTCACACTATCTCTCACGAAACGGTTTACATCCAAGAGGATTCAAACCTTAGATCTGATATGGAGTACTTCCTAAGGCACCAAGGTCAAAATCTTACCCATTTGAGCCAACCCCTTGAATTTGTATTGTTTTAATTTTTTTAATTCATAATGGATATTATATTGTTTAATTTCTTTTTATAATATAGTTATATTTCATATAGGTATTTGAAATATAGCTGTGGGAAAGGGTTAAAAATTATTTTATTAAAGATTAAAAATTATTAAAATATTAATAATTTTGAGCAACCAAAGACTACAACGCTAGCATGACTCTTAAAAATCATACTTGGCTCTTAAAAAATGCTCACCTCACCTTAAAGCACATGTGATAAAATTTGAAGAGACTACAACACTAACATGACTCTTGAAAATCATACTTGGCTCTTAAAAAAGCTCACCTCCAATTTTTGGGAGAAATTGTTGGGATGTTCTTCAACACTTGATGGAGCATTCAATTCAGATTCTCTGATTTAAAAAATGACTCCACCCATCACAAAAAATAAAATAAAAAATCTAAACAATGGTATGGATTAAACTTTTACATATTTAGGACATAAAATAATTTATCAATGTTTTTTTTGCGATTTTACAATCTTAGGAGTGTACTGTCAACTCATTAAAGAGTATTCGCACCCCTTCCAATTCATCCCATCGCGCTAAAGCAATCCATCAAATATTCTCAAATTTGCCTCTTTGTCAGCTGAGTTCGGCTGAATATAATCGTCTCTCAAATGGGTTTCTCTCACTTCCTAAATCGTTTACCCAAAAAAATTGAAAGCTCCAATCTGCAGAAAACCACCATCGCAACCTACGTTCATTACCCTTCTCTTCCTTCTAGACCCACCATTGGAATTGGTTCACTTAAACCCTTCAAAGGTCAAAATTCCCTTCCAGTTTCATCGACTCGTGCTGAGAATTCAATTGGGTTCCTATCCAATACCCTACACAATCTAAGTAATCTTCATTTCTTCAGCTTTTACAGATCAATCCGTGAGGGTTTGGTGAATACCCAAGTTGTTATTGAGGCCAATAACAAGAACCCAGATGCCGAAAGCAGCCGAATCGCCCAAGACATAGAGAAACTCTGCAAAATACTATCGAGCCATGGAAATTCTTCCGAAGATATTCACTCTGCGTTGGATCGTGCTAATGTTGCAGTATCATCCCCCACACTGGTTGTGGAGGTTCTCAAAAAGCTCAGCAACGCAGGGGCACTTGCGTTGTCGTTCTTCAGGTGGGCTGAGAAGCAGAAAGACTTCAAACACACCACTGACAGCTACAATGTTCTGATCGAAGGTCTGGGAAAAATCAAGCAGTTCAAGATGATATGGAATTTGGTGGGTGACATGAACAGCAAGGGTTTGTTGTCGAAAGAGACAATTGCTCTGATCATTCGGAGGTATGCAAGAGCGAGGAAGATTAAGGAAGCCATAGAGGCATTTGAGAGGATGGAGAAGTTTGGTATGAAGCCAGAATTGTCAGATTATAACAGATTGATTGACACTTTGAGCAAGTCTAGGCATGTTGAGAGAGCACAGCAGGTGTTTGATAAATGGAAAAACAGAAAATTTACCCCGGATATCAAGTCTTACACGATACTCCTGGAAGGCTGGGGTCAGGAGCAGAATCTGCTGAGGTTGAATGAAGTTTATCGTGAAATGAGGGATGATGGGTTCGAACAGGATGTTGTGAGTTACGGAATTATGATAAATGCTTACTGTAAGTCTAGGAAGTACAATGAAGCTATAGAAATGTTTCATGAAATGGAAGGAAAGAATATCAAACCATCTCCTCATGTATACTGTACTCTCATCAATGGACTGGGTTCTGAGAAGAGACTTAGTGAAGCTCTTCAGTTCTTTGAACTATCTAAGGCTAAAGGTTTCACTCCGGAGGCACCAACTTATAATGCACTTGTGGGGGCTTATTGTTGGTCGATGCGGATCTATGATGCTTATCAAGTGGTTGAGGAGATGAGGAAATGTGGGGTTGGACCCAATTCTCGAACTTATGATATAGTTCTTCACCACCTCATAAAAACTAGAAGAACAAAAGAAGCTTACTCAGTTTTCCAGAAAATAAGCAATGAGGCGGGTTGCGTGCCTACTGTCAGTACATATGAGATAATAGTGAGGATGTTCTGCAATGAGGACAGAGTGGATATGGCGATAAGGGTTTGGGATCAGATGAAGGCCAATGGAGTCCTTCCTGGAATGCATATGTTTTCGACATTGATTAATAGCTTGTGCCATGAGAATAAATTAGACGATGCCTGTAAATATTTTCAGGAGATGCTGGATATGGGTATTAGGCCTCCTGCGCCAATGTTTAGTAATCTTAAGCAAGCTCTTCTTGACGAGGGTAAAAATGATACTGTTTTAATCTTGAGTCAGAAGCTTGAGAAAATACGGAAAACTCAACTGATTGGTTAAGTCCAGGAGAGGTACGATGCCATTGATCACACAACTGTTTAGATCCTATAAGAGAAACTACTCAAATCATCTGTATTCTGATGAATGATAAGACAGTCGTCCACGTGCTTAGTAGTGAATTCTTCACCTCATCTGACGGCTGAAGCACGATACTCAGGCCTATAGCTAGAATTCGACTCTATCATAATTATATCCTGAACTCCAAAGCAACATACAAATGTTGGGCACTAATTATTGGCTTTTGACACCAATGCAGAATAGGATTTATTTGTTTTTTATTCTTCAAGAAGTTCAGGATCAATTTTAAGTAAAGTTGGATTGTTTGTTTAATTCTGATGGAGGGATTTAAATAGAATCGAGGGTTTAGCCATTTCTTGCTACCACAATTCTTCAAACCCAACATTCATGTATGTGATAGATGCTCTTGTTTTTTAATGTCTTGCTTGATGTGTTGAATAGACTACTTTCTTCCTTTTTCTTCCTCCCTTCAGTCACATTTCTGTACAATAAATGTGTGTGTGTGTTTTGTAATCTAAACCTCAACAAAGGCATGCATATGTTTGGAGATTAGTAGCGTGAAGCCAAAAATGGTGCCGGAGAAGTGCTAAAACATTTCAATGACTGCAAGTCTGCTTGCATTTGAAAAGACTAGAGAGGTGCATTGTACTTCCCTCACTTCTAGCATTCTGATTTTCTGTTCCTTGTATGCTGGAAGAGGGTATAATCTCTTCGCAATCCACTCAGATCTTTTATTCTCATGACGTTCATGGTTTAGGTAACTGATTTTTCTCAATAATAGTTTTGTTAGGCAGCACTGTAGATCTTTCATAGTAGTGAGTGGAAAGTTTATTCAAGTATGAGAATTGTGACAGGTAATGCGAAATTTCAATTTGATGGATGAGCTTCAAGATGTATCCTGCATTAGATTGACAGCTTGAGAAATAGGAGGAAGAAATTGTACAGGTATTCATCTACTGAAGGTCACTTTTTGGTGTAGGGGAAAAAGTTTGGGCGGCTGAACATGAGAATGCAAGTATGATGACAGCCAAATAAAGATGTGTTAGATCTCTAACCAATTCCCCGTTCCTAACATCACGCCATCGCTGGTCTATTCAAGTAAGGTTTACAGTATTTTCAGTTGTCCTATATTATTGTGTGCAGCCCAAATTGACACCCAAAGTCTCTGCCTGTGTGCGTGTGTGTGTGTGCGTAGACTGTCTGATTCTTCATTGAAGAGTTGTCTGCAAAATATTCAGTGAGATGGGTAGTAATAGCCAAGGGGAAGCTGAAGATATAATGGTGAAAGCCGCAAAAGCGCCTGATGATCTCTACAACCACAGGGACGTGTATTTTCCTGCAAACCCAGATGACAAAATGTCCAAATTGCAGACACTGATCTCCCTCACAAAAACCTCGATTCCAACCTGCAGGTACTTATTTATTCACTCCCAATGTGTATATGTGGGTATACATATACTGTTTGATTGCTGAAATAATGTGCTGAAATGACGTGAATTAAAATGTTGAAGTTTTCCCATTTTTGTTGTTTTGGTTTTTTTAATACGTAAAGAGTAACTCCCTGCTGAGACGCGTCTAGAATCGGTTGAGTGAAGGTTTCTGTTTTCTGGTACCAGCAATTTTGAATATGATTCAGGATTCTGTTTTCCTTGCTATTCTATGTGACCGAATAGAGCCCAAGTTTAAACATTTGAGTAAAGGTATGACTGTGCATAAGGCAGCTCAAGCATGGATTTATTGTCTGTGTTGACGTAGTATTCAGAAAAATTCTGGATGAACTGTTAAATTATCAAAAACATACAGTATATTTTACTTATAAACTGTCTCATATAAATGTATTGTGTAGCTTTTTAATTTAGTTGTAGATGAAATCGACCACCTGAGAGAGAGATGAGAGAAGAACCTTCGAGAGGCTTGTTATAGCAGAAACATTTAGTTTACAAGCAATCTGTTAGAAACATAATTGTGTTTTGGCATATTTCCTGTCTAAAACCATGATATCAAGTTGCAATTTGTCTTCAGTCTTTGAGCTGAAAGCTTCACAATTTGGGCATTGTCAAAGGATCCAGGTCATCAAATTGAAGCTCCATCAACTTCAAAAACGCACTATACGATCAGATAAGTAGAGTGGTGTGAGAACAACTTATTTTAAAGATTTATTTTGAAGTGTCAAAACTTGTAAGAGTTGGAAAAAATCAAAAAAAGGTTTAAAAATGTTTTTAACAGTGAATATATGTTTTTAAAACTTTGGAGCATGATTTTATTGAATCAATACCCACTGGTTATCTCAGATTCCATGAAACCTGATCCTACTTCCTCTGATCTTCTGCTTTGGATTCTCTCAAAGAATGGTTTCCCCATTAAAAATGTTTGGGAACACATCAGGCCAAAGCAACCTAGAGTCCCTTGGCCTGATTTAGGCTTGTTTTAGATAGTATTCCAAAACATTATTCATGTTATGGCTTACTCTTCAAAATAAGCCTCCAACTCAGCATGGGTTATTTCAAATGGGAATTACTCAAAATATTAGGTGTGTTTTCTGTAGAGGGAAGATAGCAGACTGAGATCACCTCGTCATCTGTTTATGAAAAAGTTGCTATTCAATTGCACAGATGTTATTTGTCTGGTTTGATTAATTGGGTTATAATGGTACTTAAAAGGCAAATCTCTCATTTCAATTATTAGTAAGTTGCTTTTTGCTGCTACCGTTTATGTGGTCTGGAGGGAGAGGAACTTGAGGTTATTTACTAATGATCCTGTTTCTCTCCAGAAAGAAATTTGTGAATTTGTTAGGCTAAAAACTCTCTCTTCAGAATATGAAACCTTCAATGCCTACTAGATAGTGTGCCAAGAATGGTCTCTTACGGATTTTGTGATACATGCCAGCTGAATTTGTTGAATGTTGTTATGACCAATCTCTGTTTCTGCTCTGTGTTTGAATTTGATTCTCGGTCTCTAATAGTTGCTCCTTTCTCTGTTTGAATGTGTTGGGGTTTGCTGAAATTCTGTATGAACGCTTGCTTTTGAATCTCTTATGGACTGAAAATTACGGTAGTTTGAGCCATAAGAGACTGCATACCAGTAATGCTAATAAGCTTCCTGCTCTCTTCCATTGTATTCTGGAGTCTTGCTCTACATTCAGGAAAAAAAGGGTCTTGCTCTGCCTGCCGGTGTTTTTTGATCCTTTTGGATTTGTCTGCTAGCGTTTTTTTGATCCTTTTGGATTGGTTGCTCACTAGGTTTAATGACATACATCATGAATAAACTTCCATGCATTCAATTGAAACTTAAATCGGCCTAACACATTCATTGTAATCAAAATGAGTCCGGTTACAATATAACTCGGCCCTAAGGCCTCACATGGAATCAAAATACTAATGAAACCTCAAAATAATACATGACCCTTTACAAGTTCATATTTACATCAAAACTAAACTATAACATCAAAAATAGACTAAGGACCTTGAGAATACGAAAGGTGACCTGGGCCGGATACGATTCAGACAGTTGAGAATGGGTCAGGCAAGAGCAACCGCCCTAAACCAAGCATTCATTAACCAGGCCTAGGACTAGGGAATCGAGCTGAAAGCCTGACTCTAGAAAGAGGAAATTGAGCCCATGACCAAGAAGGGACCAAGCGATCGGCCTAGTGTAAAGAGTTAGTTAGGAAGCTTCTAGAAGATCTGTAACAGCCTATAAATAGACTGAAAATAGAGGGAAAGGGGGTTGGAAAATATTTGAAGTGTAGGGATATTCTTTCCAAATTGAGAGGGAAAATTTCTTGCATCTTCAATGGTGCCGTCTGTGGGAACGATTAGTGAAGGAGAAGCTTGAACTCTAGAAATTGGATTCAGATTGGCGAGATCGTAGTTTGCCTTGCAAAGTGTCGGCTCTAGTTGATCTTTGAAGATAGGAATTGGATCTGAAAATTCTCGATCTGTTCACTGAGATTAGATCTGACGAGTTCATGGCAGGAATAGAATCAGCAGATTGTAGATCAGATCCAGCGGGAAGAGATTGGAATTCAGTTAGTTTGAGGCCAGATCAAGTGTGCTCGCATTAGCAATAATCAGATCCAATCAGGAATTCACAGTTGATGACTCTGCTCTGATCAGGAACGATGATCGGAGGTGAGAGCTCTGATCCGCAGGAGAATGGCCAGCAAACGAAGCTTGATGAGTTAATGAGCATGATCGAAGCCCTAAGAAGAGAGAATGTAGAATTGCGAGCTGGAATGGAGCGTCGGGAGGCTCCGGCGATACCACGGCCACTTCCAATAAGGGAGCGAGCCTTGCAGTCCGATGTTGCTCACTAAGGCGAGCAGGAAGGGAACAATCACGTGGATCTTCACTGTGAAGAGATCAGGCCAGGTGACTTACCGCTAAATACTCGTCAGACGGAGGATCGAGAAGGATCTATCCATTTGGATCCGCATCGTGAGCGGATCGGGCGAGAGGACGCCATGGAGTTTGGTCACCATAAAGCTATGTCGCCGTGGCAGAGAGAGCTCACGGAGGAAAGGTCATCTGATCTGCCCTACCGGCCTTCAATGGCTACGTATGACTACAGAGGTTCGGATGGTAGATCTGCAGATCAGAGGATTTTCTCAAGGTTTCCAAGGGAGAAGAAGCCCTCCATTCATCAGCAAGAACGGTTGCTTCACCATTTACTGACGAGACACTGAACGCTCCGAATCCGAGGAAGTTCTCCATGCCAGTGTTCATCCTGTTTGACGGAACGAGTGACCCTATCGATCACATTTACCATATCCAATTTAAAATGGCTTTGAACACAGAGAATGATCCATTGATGTGTAAATGCTTTCTTACAAGTTTGACCGGACTAGCGCTCAATTGGTTCAAGAAGTTAGCCAAAGGCTCAATAGCTAGCTTCCAGGACCTGTGTGACAAATTCATCAGCCAGTACTATGGGAACAAGCGCCCGGCCAAAGATGTCTCGAGCCTGTTTACAATGAAGCAACATGAGGGTGAACGACTCCAAGCTTTCCTCACCAGGTTCAACCTCGTCAAGAGCATGGTAATGGAATGTCATCCATCCATGGCAGTTTAGGCGTTTAAGCTGGCAATGAATTGAGGGACACCATTCCACACCAGTCTGGTGGTGAATACACCGAAGACAATGGATGAGCTGAACGAGAGAACTAATGGTTTCATGCGATTGGAAGAAGAAGAAGTGGCTAACGCAAGGAAGATGTCGATTATATCGACAAAAGAGAAGTCAAAAGCCAAGATTCGGCAAAAACAAGCTCTGCCACAGCGTCAAACCTCCTGAAAAGCAAAGAAGAGGCCCAGAGAAAAGGAGTTAGTCACTCCACGTAAAGTCACCCTCGCAAGGCTGTATCAGGAGAACAAAGATAAGTTCCGCTCCCTTTTACCAATTAAACAACCGCTCGAGCAGAGAGATCAATCTAAACATTGTGCTTTTCATAGCGATTTTGG